TCTCTCTCTCTCTCTCTCTCTCTCTCTCAATTGCTTTCTTAGAGTTTACTCAAAACTTTAATAGAAATTAACTTATATTTCATTTTACAGACAATTCATTGCAATTAACGCCTAAAAAGGCTAAGAAGAGTATCAATGATTTAAGTCCGAAGCGAAATATCTCCGAAGTATCCGAAAGCGAATCCAATTCACCGCAGAGAAGATCCAAACGACAGGCCAGCGCTCGCCAAACACTGGCCACCAGTGATATCAAACCCAGTCCTCGACCGACGACCTGTCAAGTGATTGTCAAACGCGCCGTCAATACTGGCCGGACGTCAACCCTAAGGAAACGCGTACCACAGCCAACACCCGCCGCCTCAGTCAATGGCAGTCCTCCTAAACGCACGTTGACCTTCAGTACAGGCGCTGTCACCGCCAACACCTCCACCGCCATCATCCCCGACGCCACCTCTGCCACCGATTCATCGCCAGCTACTGAAACGGTGGTGAATATCAACGGATTGGACGTGAAGGTGAAGCCCAGCGCCAACCACTCGTGTCCGAAGTGTCACCACTTGTTCCCCACGGAAATCAAACTATTAAACCACTTGTCGTACAAACACCACGTGCTGTCGTTCGTGTGCCACATATGCGGCTACAAGACCAACAAGAAGTTCTACCTGGAGCGGCACATGTCCATTCACACGTCGGCCAAGCCGTACCAGTGCGACCAGTGCCGCAAGTGGTTCAAAACCCGGGGCATTTTGCTCACCCATAAGCGCCAGACACACGCCCCGCACAAGCGGTTCCAGTGCGACCTCTGCGAGTATCGCACCGCCAACAAGAACTCGTTGGCCAATCACAAGTCCCGGCACTCGACCGACAAGCCCTTCAAGTGCGACGTCCACGGCTGCCGCAAAGAGTTTAAGACAGCCATCTGTCTGTATCAGCACAAGAGTGTTGTCCACTCTGGCGATCGCTTCGAGTGCCACTACGAGGACTGTCGCCGACTCTACAACTGTAAGAAAGCGCTGGTCCAACACCTGGCCATTCACGCGGTGGCCGTCCCCTACGCGTGCGGTATCTACGGCTGTCCCAAGACGTTCAAAGAGAAACGATCGCTCAAACGCCACCAAATTGGTGTCCATAAGCGGGTGGTGACCACCGCCAGAGCGGTCTCTGCCGCCAGAGCGGTGTCGGCCGCCGCAGAGCTGTGTCGGCCGCCAGCAGAGCGGTCGCCACCGGTGACCACAAGTGATGGTTACGCCCCCCATATCTGTCTGTATATTCATACGATTACTATTATCCATATGACTGATCCCCTCAATCGTTGGACAGTTGTTTTTTTGTTACGTTTATTATAATAATTATCTGATTTATAAATTTGATTATAATTTTATAACAAATTTGAGTTTTTTTCATTTTTTTAGTTTAATTTGATTCAAGACAATACAATTATTAATCTATTTATAATTACTTATAATTTAATTAATTTGTAACGAAAACATAACATTTTTTGTAACGATTTATAATTTTGTGTGGTTTTTAATGTTCTCATTATTAGTCTGTGACTTTATAATTGAAAAATTTGTGTTTAATTTGATTGCAATTTAATATAATTCAAAATTTTTGACATAAATTCAATTATAATTATTCAATAATTATTATATTAGGAAAATGTTTAGTTTTAATTTAATGGCCCATAAATATTGTAAATACTAATTATTAATTAATAACCAATTAGTTATTAAATATTAATTAGTTAACTAAATATAACGTCTGTTTAAGAATTTTGTAATTAAATAAATTTCATATTAAATTTATAAACAATTTAGTAAATGCTTACAAAATAAGTGCCGTTTAAAGTGATTAGCCGTAAAAATCATCCGATTTGTAAGGGGTGTGGGCGTGGGTCAGGCCAACCATCGACCCGCGGGGGACACCGCGACTATATCTGCGCATAACAGTGGGCACATGTGTGGCCCTCTGACCGCCAACGGCCGGCGCTAAACCCAAATAAGCTCCCGGAGACCAGATGTCAAAGTCGTCGCCGGTGTCCATCGGCACCACATCCCTGTCATCCACACGAAGTCGCCGACCAGTGGTCGAAGGGCTATCGGTCACCTCTCGGCGAACCCACTGGGCGTCCCATTGACGGGGTTTGTGCGACACCCGAGTGCGGCACACGTAACACGTGTCCCGCGTTTCGAGCCATTTGTGAGCGCACGACACGTGAAACCGATGGCCGCACGCGTCCAGCCGTACCGACTTTGGCCCGTCCGCGTCGTCCACACTGTTCTTACATATGGCGCAGAATGACGTCGACTGGTCATCGATTGCCGAGTTTGAGGCGGTCTGGCCCGAAGTGGCCACCAGTTTGTTGCCATTGAGATCGTTGTTTGATGTCTGGTCTGCCGCCGCGGCCGTCGCCCACCACCACAGGTCGGCCGAGTCGGGCACTGGTCTACGGTTTGGGTTGGTTTCCGACATGTTTTTCAGACAAAACTCTATCTCTTTTATAATCCCTTGAAATAATAGTGAGAGGTTTGAGTGGAAATGTAAAAAGTGATTAGAGTTTAACTCATGCTATAAATGGACACTACTTGACCAGTGCTCATAGGTGTGCATAGTATGTGGTTTTGCTGTCATTGTGAGTACAGGTATAGGCGATGAATTAAGTTTATGACTACTTGTAATGTACTTTAAGTGTTCACGTAGTCATAATTTATTACCAATCAAACTTGTATGACTTTGCATTTACCTTAATCGTACCATATTACAATACATTAAATTAGTTCAATTTACACGTATGCATTTTTAATGTAAAATATTATAAATATTTTGTCGTGAATGTGATTCAGTCACTCCTGGTAATATTCCAGTCAAATATCATGGTGACTTCGATGAGCTCATACACCACTCACTACCCCTATATATACTTACTTTTAAGTCATAAACAGGGTATCTATGATTCACACACTCTATGTATTATTTGCAGTCAATTATAAGTCTTCTTCGAAGGCAATACTTTTTATAATAAATACTTGTTATATCAATACATGTTAAGCGAGTGTAACGTTATTTAGCCCTCAATTAGGGGTTAATACCGTCGTTGACCACAAATTAACAGTCGTGACAGTAGTGGTCACTCCTCACCCGCAAGTCTGCTCATTACCGATCTCGACAATTTAAATACATTGTATATCTATTTTATTTATAATAATTTAATTACATAAAACATTGTAGAAGTTTTGTATCACAAATGTACAATGTAATTTTTATCGCACACATTATTTTTACAAGATAATAAAATTACAAACCATTAAAATAAGTATAACAAGAATTTATTCAAAAAAGTATAAAACAAATGAAAAAACAATTCCTATTAATAAACCCTTAATCCATCAAATAATGCAACAAAATAACATAATAATAAACACCGTAATCAAAATACCCAAACACTGGCGATCTCTGCGTACCTAAAACAAGAAGTAGTCGTGAAAGCCGTGACCGTCGGCGCCGTACATGAGGTATGAGGTAAGCGAGCGTCGGGGCGGCGGCTGCGGTGACCGGCGGGTAAAGCCCGTGAAAAATGACCAGATATTGATAGAGGGAGCGCCGCCGTGAGCCATAATCATGTAGTCGTCGGCCATCCACGAGCTGTACGCCCGCATAATGACCGCCGGATCCATACCGGCGTACTCGTCGCCCTCATCCGACTCGTAACCCGTCGGCACAGTATGAGTGATATCGGCGCTGCACTTACGGTCGCGTTTGGCCACCCGTTGCCGACACACCGGACACGTCATCCGGTGGGCGAACCACGACTTGAGGCACTTCTTGTGGAACCGGTGCCGACAGGTGAGGCTCCGGGTGTCGCCGCAATTGTGACCATCTGTTACCGGTTCGCACATTATGTCCAAACATATGGGACACTGATCACCGGTTGTGATCGTGTCGATCATTGGTTCGGCTTTTTGGCCGCCACTGCTCTTTACCAGTTCAATAGCGGGTCCGGTGTTGTCGTTGTCCCGACTGTGTTGACCACCCGTTGACCGGTGACCGGAACCCGAGCTCTGGTACCTGTGATCGCGTTCGTTCACTCCGTATATGATTTCAAATATGCTCTCCATTTCTGTATAGTTTTTGTGTTAGATTTTGTATAATATTATAATTAATATTTTATTTCAAAATCTAACTAAAATCAACTAGACGCAATAGATACTTGTATAATAAACTATTGCGTGAATGGTAGCTGGTTATATAAAGTTATTGTAATGTAATATAACCATTATGAATTACTTGCATAAAGAGATTTTATTTTCATATGATTTCGTATGACTTGCAATACTATTACAATAATAATATAATATGAGAGAGAGAGAGAGAGAGAGAGAGAGAAATACATACTCTCAACGAGTGCTGCATTTGTATCGACACTTCGGGGACTCTTCTGTGGACTCCGTTGAGGGCTTCGGTGCTTCAACTTTGGCGGACTTCTCAGTCTCTGCGGACTCTTATAGGGACTGGCCTTTCGTGCGGGACTCCCGCGCGGCGAGTGATAGCCGGCCTTATGTCTCAACAGGTATTTCTCGCTCAACGTCTTGTACGGGCACTGATCGCAGCCAAACAACCTCTTCGTGCGATGACGTTGACTGAAATGCCGGTGCAGTCGGTCTTCGGTGTCAAACACTTCGTAACACTTGTCGCAGACATAGCTGTGAACGGCGACACCGACCGCCTCATCGCCGGTCAAATGGATCCGTTCTGTGTGTACGTCGAGATCCAGTTGTGTGGGAAAGTCGTGGTCACACTCATAGCACGTGTATAGCGCGCCCACTATAGCGCAGGTGCTGTCGGTGGCGGTAGTGTTGATGGGCAGCGGTGGCCACTGTGTCAATGGCGGCACATTCGGGTTCGGGTCCACCGCTATATTCTCTTCATTCTCATCCGTTTCGGTCTCTAAATAAAATATAAAACATATTCAATATAATGAACAAAACACTTAAAACATGTCCACAATAAATACAAAAATAAACACTCGATATAATCAACTAAACAGTACACTAATGGCAGCGCAAATACTGACCGACATTCAGATCACAATGTTTAGTGTCAACGACATCCACATCCGACTGTTGGTCGTTGTCATCGGCGACGGACACGATCTCAACGGTAATGTCTGTGCTATCGTCGCCGCCGGTGTCGACAACACTACAGGCTCTGCCGTCGTTGGCGGCGGCGATGGCGCCGGAGATGATAATCGGGTGATGATTGTTGCGCTTAATGGGCGACCGGAGGTGACTGGCCTTCAGGTCCTCGTAGATGGCGTTAAAGCGGCGATACTTCTGGAGCCGCGCCGGCGACGACTGGCGCTGACAGTGACAGTCGTTGATGAGCGGCAACGAGTAGATCCGGATGTTGTCCAGAATGTCGATCAGTTGCCGAAGACGTGTGATCTCTTGGCGTAGGGCTGGGGTGTCGTCACCGCCGCTGTCGTAACCATCGGCGGTGACAGCAGTGACAGTGATGTTGCCGTCGCCGGTGTCTGTGGCGGCTGTAGTACTGGTGCCGGCGATCACGTGTCCGGTGTCTGTGACGGCGCGCGTAGAGTTGGCCATCGATGGTGAACGCGTTGCGTCGCGTTGACTATAATCACACAATAGTAGTGGTTGTGGTGTCGGCCGGGCTTTGCCTACCGTTTAAACCGATAACACGTTTATACTACTGGTATCGGGTTTAGGGGCGCCAGTAATGGGTGTCCCGTTTGTAACACTAGTGTCTGAATGGTGTGACTGTAACTAATTGTGTAACTAATTAATGGTATAATTAATAATGCGTTAATTAATATATACACCACTCATAACACACTCACAACACAAATACAGTGCGTTTTGCGTAATGTGTTGTTTACAGTCAGTGTGAATGTGCTGTGCGTTGAGCACCGATTTGTGCGCACATACTGTACACTTTATTACTCATATCAATATACATAAAGTATGTCCACTCTATATGTGCTATTATTAACTCATTTTACTGTATTTTTAACGTGGATTTATTAGTTTAGCCCATGTTTTAAGCGTTAGTGGTATTTATTGCGATCATGGTTAAATATTTACCATCGGATTATTATGGTTAATTCGTTATGATCGTGTTAAATCAATTAAATATAGTTATTAATTACCTGAACGTATAGTATGGATTTAGCAAATAAACAGCCGCTAAAAAGCTACATTCAAATTACAGTAATTATCAAAACTACTTAATCAATTAATTACACTGTTGAAATTAGTTTTAATAAATCATCTAGGTGAAGATTTACCCAAATTATACGCCAACCTATCATCAAAACACAAATAAATCATAAAATAACACTTAAATAAACCATACATTAGTTGCTTATGCAATGCAATGGTTACTATTAGCAGGAGTTGGCTGTATTTGTATGAGTAGTTTGTTATTCACTACTGTAATAGGTTTTGGACAAAACTTTTGTTTCAAAAGTGTTGTCTTGTGTTAACACTCGTCACTCACTTCAGTCCCGGCACTCACTTCGCGGTCAAAAGTCAAGTCAACACTCGCGGCGAAAGTCGAGTCAGTAGTCAAGTAAAGTCACAACAAGTGCTTTGCTTCACTTCAAGGTATCAATTAGTACTCAATTAAAACTTGATTACAACTTATTTTCATAACTATTATTAACCATTATTTACTATTATTAACAATTATTACCAGTAATACAGTGGCGGACAATCGGGTGGTGCCATCGGGTCGGGTGTGTTGTGAGACATGTCGGTGGCGGCGGTGGCGGAGCGGGTGTCGGGCCGTGACCTGGAGAATGACCCGATCTTCGTGGACCTGATGGTGGAGAAACACATCGCTCTCCAATTGGACACTATTCGTCACACCGGCGCCCAAATATGCGACCGATGCGAGTGTGCGGCCAATCGGACGCTCATCGCTCACTACCGCGGACTCAGTCACCGGTTGGACGCGTTGGTGGCCGACATCCCGCGCGATCACACCAACGATGGCTATCAGTTGCAATTGACGCGCGCCGAGCATCCCATCACCCGTGGGAAGTGTTATGAGGTTTCCGTCATCAAAGGTATGTCCGCTTAGAGAGAGAGAGAGAGAGAGAGGAATTGTTTTGCGATGACTAATGCTAACTAAATGTCTTGTAGCCCGTATTGTTGAGATGTTGGACATTAAGCCATCGCTGGAAGAGCTGCAATGGACACTAAATGAACCAAACGCTGTTCTATCCACCGATGGTAAATCTAAATTTTATTAATAAAACATTCACTGCGTAAAGTTCAATATAACTGACCATGGGCACACTTAATTTACATTAACCATAGATGCAATGCTAGTGCCGGTGACTGACAACCCTATTATTACGACCACAATTACGCCATCAGCGGCACCTCCTATACCACCCGAACCGACATTTACCTGTACGGAGTGCGGGTTCACTCATAATACGGACACAGTGGTCAACTGTCACCATGACCATGACCATGATCAAATCCACGACCAGGAACAAATTGAAACAAATGCTAGTCCTGTTGGTGATGATGAACAAGCCCTCGATGGAAACAAATCACCCGCACTTTCGCGGTCAACACCCACACCAACTGCCACTCGGCGCACATCTACGCCCATTACAGTTCCCACTTCGACCCCAACTCCAGATGGTATCGATGCTCAACCCGTGGCCTCGAGATTGCGGTCATCTCAGCGTAAATCACTGGCCGCGGGCGCCCCTAACCCAGTGGCCAGTTATAGCCAGCCGTCGCCCAAAGCCTATACGGATCGGCACGAAGTGTGTAACATCAACGACTGCGGCGACGCGTTTGTCCGCCGGTCGGACCTCAACCGACACATGGCTATCGTTCACCACTATTACGGTACCGATGATGACGATCGTAATCAGGAGACGATTGACGTCACCAATGGATCAGCTATTGATAATGCGATGGATTTGGACGACTGTCAGCCATTAGATGATACCGTCGACACTGTGGCCTCGGATACGGTTTCGGGTATCAAATACGAGTGCAATGAATGCGGCAAACAATATAAGCGGCAGAGAAAACTGGACAGACATATGGCTCGCCGACACGCGAACGCTGACCACACGGACAGCCAATCAGCGCCCGATATGGAAATGGCGGACATAGAGGTGGTGGACATTACCGAAAACATTGACCGCAACAATAGCCCCGATGTATCTCAAAGCACACCGCGTGCTAACGCACTGACACCGGCGGCGCTCAAAGAGCTTAAACAATGTGAGCGCTGCGGCCGAAGGCACCTGCAAATACCGGCCACTGTCCCGTCCGTCGGTCCCTCCGTGTGCCACACGTGCCGACACATATGCCACTCAGTACGCGCACTCAAAGAGCACGTGTCGGACAAGCACTGCGCGTATCCCCAGGATATGCCGCGACTCGAGCCCATTCAATGCCAAGTGGCCGGCTGTGGGTCGCGTCGGTTCGACAGCCAGGACTCGCTGTACAAACACCGACGCGTTCGGCACCGCATAAATGACTCTGAGTTTAAGTGCAATGTCATTAAAAGTGATGGCCGCAAGTGTAAACACATGGCCACGGCGGCCAATAAGCTTGATTTCCACTTGCTCAAACACAGGCGCCGCCCCCATAAGTGCTTTCAGGTCGGTTGCGTCGCCCAGTTTGACACCAGTCAAGGTTTGTCACTGCATCAGCACACTGATCATATGGGTGAACAGTTCCTGTACCAGTGCGATTGGCAGGATTGCCACCGGGTGTTTAAGACTCAAGTTCAGTTTGATAAGCATCAGAGTCTCGAGCACCTGGTGCTGGTGTCTGATTACTGAGACCGCAGGCCAACCAAGTTATATAATATATAGTTTTTTTGGTGTGTTTTTTATTAACATTTATTTTTAATTAATTAACAATTAACTTATTTTTTGTATTTCCCAAATATAGTGCACATATTGTATATACTTTTTGTACCGAATTATCCGTATATCGTATGACCGATTGTAAGACGTTGTATATACCGATTGTGAGGACACACACGTGTCGTTTCCGCGATGTTGTCCATAGGGTTGCAGCAAATATGTTATGATTAATGTTTTTTACCACAAGTTATCGATTTCTCATGAGTACTGGTCATACCTTAATATCTTAATTTGGTTGCCTTCGGGAACAGTCATTATGATAGTCGACAAACAAGTCTTTGGATCAGTATCTCTAAAATAGTCATCAATTCAATAGCCAAACAAAACTTTCACTCATTAATAATGACTCATTATAGCTGATCCCGAAGAAGTTCTTAACAGTTATCCCAATAGAAGTGACTCTAACTCGTAAGAGAGTCTATTAGAGAAGTTCCCGAATTGTTGTTTCATTTGTTTTATATTTTTTTTTTGAATAAATTCTTGTTATACTTATTTTAATGTTTTGTAATTTTATTCTCTTGTAAAAATAATGTGTGCGATAAAAATTACATTGTACATTCGTGATACAAAACTTCTACAATGTTTTATGTAATTAAGGTATTATAAATAAAATAGATATATTTAAATTGTCGAGATCGGTAATGAGCAGACTTGCGGGTGAAGAGTGACCACTACTGATCCGACTGCTAAGTTGTGGTCGCCGACGGTATTAACCCCTAATTGAGGGCTAAATAACGTTACACTCGCTTAACATGTATAACAAGTATTTACTGTATTATAAAAAGTATTGCCTTCGAAGAGAACTTATAATTGACTGCAAATAATACATAGAGTGTGTGAATCATAGATACCCTGTTTATGACTTAAAGGTAAGTACATATAGGGGTAGTGAGTGGTGTATGAGCTCATCGAAGTCACCATGATATTTGACTGGAATATTGTAGGAGGCACTTTTATTTATATAAACAAATTAATATGAAATCATTCAATTATTATTTGACTTAAATCATGTGAGTTATCTCACTATGAAACTTTATATTTTATTTCCGTTTATTTCATTATTCGTAGAATTATTGCTAAATTATTGTGTAAGCATAGAGTATATAAACTAATGTAAAACTTATGTAAAACACTACTCTATTCTATCCAGGGGACATACTGTCACCCTGTTCAATTATTATTGTATTGTATTGAGATAATGAATAAAACTATATTTGAGTGAAACAAACATTGTAATCAATGGGCCGGGCCATAGGCCCGACTCCGACTAGTATATAACTAACCCTCATCATAGCGATAGCACCTTGGTAAGAACCTGTAGTAGAAAGTTGGCTTTCTACAATATTACCAGGAGTGACTAAATCACATTCACGACAAAATATTTATAATATTTTACATTAAAAATGCATACGTGTAAATTGAACTAATTTACTGTATTGTAATATGGTACGATTAAGGTAAATGCCAAGTCATACAAGTTTGAGTGGTAATAAATTATGACTACGTGAACACTCAAAGTACATTACAATTAGTCATAAACTTAATTCATCGCCTATACCTATACTCACAATGACAGCAAAACCACATACTATGCATACCTATGAGAGCACTGGTCAAGTGGTATCCACTTATAGCATGTGTCAAATTCTAGTCACTTTTTACATTTCCATTCAAACCACTCACTATTATTTCAAGCGATAAAAGAGATAGTGTTTTGTCTAAAAAACATGTCGGAAACCAACCCAAACCGTAGACCAGTGACCGACTCGGCTGACCTGTGGTGGTGGGCGACGGCGGCGGCAGACCAGACATCAAACAACGATCTGAATGGCAACAAACTGGTGGCCACTTTGGGCCAGACCGCCTCAAACTCGGCAATCGATGACCAGTCGACGTCATTCTGCGCCATATGTAAGAACAGTGTGGACGACGCGGACGGGCCAAAG